GAATACTGACTTTGTACCAATTCATTACTCATAAGACACTTGCTGGTTTCAAGTAGGAAAATGAAACAATTTTTTGGCCACAGCTCACAGCATGCATGATCTCAGTTCCCTAACCAAGCCCCCTGCATTGGAAGCACAAAGTCTTCACGACCGCCAGGGAAGCCCCTGAAAAACAGAACTTTAAAATGAAGGCATCCGACTGTCACTTTTTACTTGATGCTCAATCTCAGCAAAGAATCCTGGGAACCATCTTATATGTCCACTGCGGCTGCACAGTTTGAAGCTCACTGCCTTGCCTGTGAACTATTCTACCAAAAATACTTAACTTGTGTCTAAATCAAGCCTTTGGATCTAACATTTACTTTATAGGAAACAGGAGATAAATTAAAAGTTAAATGACATCATGAAGAAATCATTAGACTACCTCAGATAACGGAATATTCTGCAGGGCAAATGTTTTCAATGAGTCAATGCCATGAAAAAAACAAAAGGGAGTGTTTGGGTTCTCTTCTAGATTAAAAGAAATTCAGAGACAAAATAACTAAAGCAATGTTTGATTCTTAGTGGATCCCAATCTGAATAGCTATCTCAGTTCAGCTGCTGTAACCAAACTCAGGAGTTCCACCTTGCTGGCAGTGCATGCATTCCAAGACCCCCAGTGGATATCTGAAATTTTGGATAGTCCTAAATCCTATATATACTATGTTTTTCTCTATTCATACCTATGACAAAGTTTAAAAATTGTAAGTTTACAAATTGGGCACAGTCAGATAATATCCAAATTGCTAGCATTATTCCTTTTGTAGTTTGCACCATTGTTAAGTAAAATAAGAGACACTTGAACTCAAGTACTGCAACAGAGTGACAGTTGATGTGATAATCCAGACTGGTACTAAATGACCAACGGGCTGGATACACTGGACCAAAGGATGCCTCACATCCTGGGTGGAGTAGTGCCAGGGGAGTTGGGGTTGGATGAGAAACTTCATCATGCTAATCAGAGGGGCACACAATTTAAAACCTGATTTAAATCTTTAAAGACCTGCAGTGCCAGGTCTTAGCTGCAGCACATGGGATCTTAGCAAACTTTGTTGTGGCATGTGGGATCTAGTTCCCTGACCAGGAATCAAACCTGGGTCCTCTGCATTGGGAGGATGGAGTCTTAGCCACTGGACCACCAGAGAAGTCTCCCACACATGTTTTTTTAAAGATATGAAAATGGTCTGTGGTTAAAATAAATCTTGGAAATCTATATTAAACACCTTTAACCAAGTTTATTTCATACAGAACTACTCAGAGCCTCTAATACATTAAAAGCCATTTCACACGGGCTGACTAAAGAATTCTTTTGTAAGCATCCGTGCCCATAGAATTCATGAGTAGAGACCATGGCTCAAAGGGACATGTTTTAGAACATGTTTCTTTAAAGATTTATCAGTAAAGACTTGTGAAAAATTATATTTGTAAATTAAGAATGCAGTGATAATGGCTTTCCTTAAAGTCGTGACATTGAGAATATTGTTTCTAGTTTATAGCAACACACATACAGGAGTAGAAAAACAAGGGTAAATTCTTTCTCTGATATGATCTAAGGTTTCAAAGCAACTCACCTTGGAGATCTGTGAACTGAAGTTTCCACAGATGGAGCTGCTGCTACGTATACCTCCGGAACCTAATATGAAAATTGCCTCAGGCTGTCAGGCAATGCAGGCAGTGGGAGGTGGGGAGGTGGATAGTGAGTGGGGTGGGCCGGGGGCGGAAACAAGAGCTCTGTGGCTGACCAGGAACAACCAGGCTGATCCTGACCCTACAGGAGGATGTAAGGTTCCATTTGTTTTCAAATGCTGGGCTTGGCTTTGCTTATACTTATGGAAAATAGTTACAGCTTTCAAGTTTTGGCTTTTGGTATAATGTATTACTATATCTTATTATAGAAGATTGTGAGAAAATGCTGCATGGATGTTAATTTCATCATTAAATTTCCTTTTTTTTCCCCAGAAAACTTAAGAGTCAAATATAAAAAGCTGTCATTTCTGGAGACTAAAGATTTGGCCAAATGCACCCTTAATTCTAAGTCTTAACAATAGAGCAATAATTTCTCTCATAAATGTTGAATAATTTTGGCTCTTTTCATCAGACAATAGCTTGATTGCATTGCATTGCATTTCTTGTCTTAAGCAGTAGCAGGACAATAGCAAAAAATGGGCAAAGAAAAAAGCGCTAGGCTGGAAGATAAGGTTAGGGTATGTATGAAATTAACTGCAAGCACCCACTGAAGGCGCCCTCAGGCTGTAACTCCCAGTGGGGTTGGGGAAGTCCCAGGGGTGTTAGCTTTCCATATAACTTAGGTAAAGCTATGGGAGAGTTCCATAGAAAAGTAATCAAATACAGCCTCAATTCTGATTTAATCACATTATTACTTAAGGATACAATGTGAAGTGATTGTATTTTTGAACATTTAACTAAACACGCTTGAACACCTTTGTCAGGTACCACACTAGTAGCCATTTGGAATTCAACAGGTGAAAAAGACTCCTGCAGACGCTAACAAACAAGTAGCTGATGCTTGTTTGATGCCCCTGAGTGGGGAGCAAAACAAAGGAATAGAGTGTGTTATGATGGTCCCAATAGCACTTCTAGATTAAATGGTCATGGACGACCTCTTAGGAGATGACTTGGAAGGTGCAGGTGGAAGAATGAAGTTAGATATCCAAAGAACTAGGGGGCAGAGGATTTAGAACATTCCAGGCAAGTGCAAAGACCCAAGTTATAGAAGAGCTTGACATGCTATATAAACAGAAAGAAGTCTTGTGTGGTTGACAGTGTAAAGGACAATGAGAGTTCTAGAAGATAACACTCCAGGGATAAACAGAAGCCTGATCATGTAGGACAGCACAAGACATAGTAAGGATTTTACTCTGGGATAATGGACTTGGACTTCCGAGCTCCAGAACTGGGAGGGAATAAATATGTGTTGTTTTAAGCCACCATCTTTGTCATATTTGTTACAGCAGCCATAGGAAATACAGTTGGGAAGATTGAGTTTACCTGCACTCCCAAACGTCTAAGAGAAATAGGACTGTTAAGTGATTGATGTCATTTAATTCACAACATAGTGGATTCATCACTGAGTCAGTGTCTGGTGCTCAGCATTGTGTATCTAAGAACTCATTCTCCTTGATTCATCAGTCATGATCGGATTAAAGAGGATGAAAAATATTAACTCACAAAAGAGATATAAACCACACCACCAACTCATTGGCTTATTCATGGAAGTAGAAATACTAAATGCATCAGCTTACTCAGATCAGCAGCTAAGTGCTGCTTGACTTTGCTTGGGAGTTGTAAAGCCAGAATGATGGCAATGAGCTCATTTTATTGCTTCAAGTTACCAAATCTCATAGCCTGCTGCACTCATCTCTATGGGATGAGAACATTTACACTGGCCAGACGAATCCAAGCTCTCCTGACTATGTTGGGACATTCTGACAAATTCTGGCTTGTAGAATTTTCTGTGAAGAATTTGTAGAATCTCCTTTGTGAAGTCCTCAAAGATTCCTTCTGAGTGCACCACAAGGATTAAATGTCAATTTACATCATCTCAGGTAGTCTCACCAGGAAAAAACATACTTCACTTCATCTTTCACTCATTCTTTCAAGAAATAGTATTCAGAGCTTACTAAGTGCCAGAGACTGCACTAGGATTTCAGACACAAAGTAAGCTAAAAGCCCTATTTTTATTTCAGTGGATTAAGAGTTTCTATATATTTCTTCTGTAAATAGCAAGTCTCACTCATGTCTTAAGATTTCATGAACTCCATTTTTGCAGAATGTTTCCTTACCCTCATTGCCAAATTTAGGGATGATCCAACTGAGGACCTATAAAGCAGTCAAGTCAATTCAATGAAAAACCCTAAAATCTGGACAGTTTTAGTTATGTCCTATTTTGATCATTTTATCTTAGTAGTATTTCACTATCTAGAGTGAAAATTTCGATCTCAATAATTTTTGCATTCCTACAAAACAGAGAAGAGATGGTTGTGGCCACCTGTGCAATTTGCAAGAAAGGGATTTGTACACTGGGTGGTGCGTTGCAACTCCTCATTTTATTCTATGATACACTGCCACTGACTGCAACTTAGTTTTCTCAAGTCCCAAACTATAGACTATTAAAGAAATCACAAAGTCACAACCATGCCATCCACTCTGGTTTACATACAAAAATTAACCTGCACATCTAGCCAATGAACCTCTGGTTATGGAACTGGAGGGGTTTTTCATCATCTCTTCCATAGGAAGACCATGTTTGGTAAACTTCCCTTCTTGGTTTGTTGTGGTATAAATCAAGCTTGAAAGTTTATATAAACTTGAAACTAGTATAAACTACAAAGGACTAGTGGAGAAGTGATTTTTCTGGGTGACCTACAAGAAGTCACTCATCTCCTGGACTGTTTCCTTGTCTGTAAGCGTTAAATTTTATGTCTTTCGTTTCCTCAGTTCTAAGATTCCATGATTTTTTGAGACTCTCTGGTAAATAGCACCACAAAAAGTTAAAAGTTATTTCGTTTATTTATAAGGAATCAGATCTATTTTATGGAAACCCTTTGGTGAAATTCCATTTTGAGCAGTTTTGAGGCCGTAACCATACAGTAGATATTGTCCCTGCTGTTATGAGGTGTTCAATAGAAGGGAGAGGCATCATTAAATACAAACTCAGGAAATCCACAATGACTTTCATGAAACAACTTTTTAATTTCAACTGTATATTTACAAAAAGACAGAGAATAAGGAGCAGGAAGGCAGGAATGATGCCTGGCCACCTCCCAGGCATCTGGGAGTGCAGGAAGAGGCCATGGACAACATATATGTGTCAGACTGATCTTCCCTGCCATCACTGGTAACAGCAGTGGACAAAAGGCTTCAGTGAAGGAGGTCAGCCTATTTGGGACGAGGCAGACCATGTTCAGTCCAAGTGCGAGAGGAAGAAGGCCCAAGTCAGTCTATTGACGTCTTGGCTCTTTATAGGCCGAGGCCCTTCTCTTGGAAGTTTTAGGCCGCCTTCTCCAGGGCATGTAAGGGTCAGGGGGATGATACCTGGGAAAACCCCTATGGACCGCAGGGACCCGTTGCTCATAACAGGGTGGAAGGAAGCGGGGCATAGGCGGCTGGGGACCATACCGAAAGTCACCTTGGGCAGCAAATTCTGTTTGGCTAGATGGGGGGACATCTGAATATAAATAGTTAAAGGCGAATTGATCCGATTGGAAAGTATGGTCTGAAGAAAAACCGGTATCCTGGGGGCAGAATGGGAATGGGGGCATCACCGGGTGAAAGGGGATGGGATGAGGTTGTGAGGACAGGAGTGGAAACAGGGGTGGGCGGGGAGATGGCGTGGGGAGCAGGGGTTGGCGCCCCGGGAGAGGCAAAGATCTGGGCGGAGGGCAGGCCGGCTGATCTCCGTAGACCAGGGGCTGCCTCTCAAGCCTCCGGCCAGGTCTTCCTCTCCCAGGGCCATCCGTGATCCACTTGCCCACTGGGTCTCGCTGGGGCAGCTCTACCCCCCAGGCGTCGGCCACGTGGGCCAGCAGGAGCTGGGAGAGGTGGCGGTGTGCGCGCTCGTTCCAGTGCACTCCGTCCGTCTGCAGGAACTTCCCTGTGTGGCGGCGGAAGTGGAAGTGCAAGTCCAGCACATCGAAGCCGTGCTTTTGGGCCTCGGCAGAGCTGTAGAAGTTGGCTTCGATCACCCGGCTTTTCACGGAGGCGGATGCTAACCGGATCTCGGGCGGGACGAAGCGGTTGGTGATTCTGTCGCCCACGGGCATGGCCGTGTTCCACACCAGGAGGCACGACTCGGACAGCACCTGGCGGAGGTGCCCAAACAGTCTCTCCAGGTTCCGCCGGTAACTAGGCCAGAAGTCCTTCTCGTACCTGGTGATGTCCCAGAGGCACGAGTTCATGATGACCAGGTCCGGGTGATACTCACCGGCCTGCAGCTCCTCCAGGACGTCCTCCAGGTAGTCGTTGTACACGCGCGTCAGGAAATAGAAGCGCACCAGGTGCTGGCCGGAGCAGAACTGGCGCACCTCGCGGTAGTGGGTGCCGTTGTGCATGCGGCCCAGCTGGCCCCCACACACCAGCTTATCCTGCTCGAAAGTGTGCTCCCCCTTGGCCTTGAGCTGGCTGGGTGTGAGCAGGCAGTCTTTCTGCAGCAGGAGCACCAGATCCTTGTACACAGCCCTCTGGACCGAGTCCCCCAGGACCACCACGAACTTGTTGTGGAGCAGCTGCCGCACTTCGGAGGCCAGTAGGTGGACCATGACGCCCGTACCGCCTAGCTCCTTCCTTTCTCTCAGCGGGTCTGCGGAAGGCTAGGACAGAAGGAGAGAGCGCATGGGAGGGACCCACCTCGCGCAGGACGTGGGCCCGCCCCGGGAGTGGGCTGGAACTCTGGCCTGGGGCGTCTGAAGGGCGGGGCTCCACTACCCTCCGCCCAGAGAGAAGGGGAGCCCGGAGCCAGAATCCCTGGTTGGCCCAGAGGAAGTTTCTGCTTGAGACTTGACTTTGAATACCCAGAAAACCCAGGTCCCATGGCCAGGAAGGGCCCCGCCCTCCCCGGCTGGAGGTGCCACTGCCAAAGACACCCCATCACCCGCCTGGAGACATCTCGGATGCCTGACAAGTGGGGAATGGTTAGGCAAACTCTGCAGAGGTTAAATAATGAGGATTATGATCAAGCAAGAACACAGAGCGTGATATGCTGTTAGCTGAGAAAGTTACATACCATATATGTGGCCATATCACTGAAATGGTGTAAAATAGATATGTATGCTAAGCTGCTTCCCACCAGGCTCCTAGGGAATTCCCTAGGCAAGAATACTGGAGTAGGTTGCCATGTCCGTCTCCAATAGATATGCATAGATAACATTGAAAGAAAATACACAAAACCAGCTTTAAATAGGATAGTAGGATCATGGGTGACTTGCTTCCCCCCTCCTGTTTTTTGTAAATATATTTTACATAGTCTTAAAATCAATTTTAATAATAACTTAATGTTTCTTATCAATTGGACTTGTAAAAAATAAAATTGGAAATAATTCACAAGTGCTTCAGCTGCAATATTCTTTGTTTTTCATTTGAAAGAAATTGGCTTTGGCGTAAGAAATATATTGAGCTAAAGGCCAGTGAGACTCAATAGAAGAGTTCTCTGTCCTTCCCTCATGTACCTAAACGCAAGATATAAATTTTCTGAGGAAGGTGACCCTTCCCCCACCAAGGAGACAAGAGGCAAGAAAGAAGACAAGGAACTGTCAATACAAAGATGAGTCTGCATAATCAAACCTTACTAAAATAAAATAGCCCTTATTTTCCTTTAATAACCCCATATATCCCCTTCTCCACACTTTATTATCCCTTGAAACAACTCCCTTTGTTCTGTTAAAATGGTAATATAAGCCTAAGTCTAACTAGGTAAAACTTTGAGTTCCATTCCTTTTCTGTGAACTGTTGTGCACATAGATATTAATTAAAAAACTGTATGCCTTTTCTGTTAATCTACGGTAATTTTATTCACAGGGCCCCAGATACTAACCCTAAGAATATAGAGAAAAAGTTTTCTTCCCCAGAACACTGAATAAGCTGTTAAAAGTTGTGAAACTTGTCTTCAGAACTTCAGATTGAGTTTATTTCAAGCTGCCATTTACAGCCATATCCACTAATGAATAAAAGGTGGAAACACACTGAAATACTAAGTGTCACATGGGGAGGAACATGGCACGCCCTTCACACACTTACAAAGAAGCTGTTAAAATCTGCTGTGGCTTGATAGTTGTAGGCTATCATGCATTAGAAAAAATTTTAATAGGTGTGGTGGATAGCTGTTAATAAATTACACATTTGGTTTTTAAAAGCTATACTCGTGGTTTTAAATGAGTACGAGCCCAAAAATAAAAACATGAAGATGGGTAGAATACAAAAGTGTTCCCCTAAGAACAGTTACAAATATTGCCTTATTTGAATCTTCATTCAAAAACATTTGCTATCAAATATAAAGCTTAAAACCAGGATTTTGCTCATTGTGGCACAACAAAATTAAACATAATTAAACTCCAAATCCCACTGGGGCTCAGGCATATTCTCTAGTTTATATTCACTTATTCATCCAACTCACACTTACTAAGCACTCACTAAATGATTCACATGGGGCTTTCCTGGTGGCTCAGAGGTAAAGAATCCGCCCACCAAGCAGGAGACCTGGGTTCCATCCCTGGGTCGGGAAGATCCTCCGGAGAAGGAAATGGCAACCCACTCTAGTATTCTTGCCTGAGAAATCCCTTGGACAAAGGAACCTGGCAGGCTCCAGTCCTGCTGCTGCTGCTAAGTTGCTTCAGTCGTGTCAGACTCTGTCTGACCCCACAGACGGCAGCCCACCAGGCTCCGCCGTCCCTGGGATTCTCCAGGTAAGAACACTGGAGTGGGCTGCCATTTCCTTCTCCAATGCGTGAAAGTGAAGTCACTCAGTTGTGTCCAACTCTTTGCAACCCCATGGACTGTAGCTTACCAGGCTCCTCTGTCCATGGGATTTTCCAGGCAAGAGTACTGGAGTGGGTTGCCACTGCCTTCTCTGGCTCCAGTCCAGAGTCGCAAACAACCGGACACAAGAATAACAAATGCTCCACATGGGGGATATAAAGATGTGTAAAACCCGGTCTTGCCTTTCAGGAGCAGATCAGATATATTCATTGACAACTGTAATACAAAGTTGAGAATGCTACAGTGTTAGTCGCTCAGTCATGTCTGACTCTTGCAACCCCATGGACTGTAGCCTGCCAGGCTCCTCTCCAGGCAAGAATACTGGAGTTGGTTGCCATTTCCTTCTCCCGGGGACCTTCCTGCCCCAGGGGTCAAACGCAGGTCTCCTGCATTAGCAGGCAGATTCTCCACCATCTGAGCCACCAGGGAAGCCCATAGACAAATAAACAAAGGATGTGAAACTGGTTTGTAAACAGAGCTGGGCTGCTGGGGCGATAAGGAATCATGTCTGTGTACAAGTGTGCCAGGGCGCCTGTTCATGTCCAGTCAGGACGTGGGTCCGGAGGTCTGCCAAGGCAGAGTGAGATGCAGGCAGAACAGGGCACTGAAGGCGGGCAGTCAGCAGGAACCTTTGTATCTGTCTTTGACTGGCTGTGTGATCCTGGGCTAGTCCCTGCCCTCTCTGGTGCCAGGGTCCTCTCCTGTACAATGACAGTCCTGGATTTCGTGTAGCAGACACCCCGTTTCACCTTCTAGGCCAGGAAGGGCTGGTCCTTTGTGCTCCCTGGGATTCAAGTATGCAGTGAGGAAGAGAGTTGAGAGAGAAGAAATCCTCAGAGAAGGGTTGGAGTACAAAGGAAATGTGCAAGAGGGGGTGTGACAGAGCATCTGGAGGAGCAGACCGAAGGCCCCCTGAGCCAGGACGGGAGGCGGCCAGAGGCTCCAGGTCGGCTACCTTCAAGTGCCATGAAAACAGAATGAGCAGGTGCAGTGGACTTTTAGGGATCTTTGCAAACAGGACTCCTCTACCCCAGACCCAAGTCTCCAAAGTGTAAAGTGAAATCTTTTCCCAGTGTTTTCAGGGTTCCCGTGCTTGCTCCCTGGAAGAAAAGCTAAGACAAACCTAAACAGCGTATTAAAAAGCAGAGACATCACTTTGCCAACAAAGGTCCGTATAGTCAAAGCTATAGTTTTTCCAGTAGTTATGTACAGATGTGAGAGTTGGACCATAAAGAAGGTGGAGCACTGAAGAACTGATGTTTTCGAACTGTGATTTTGGAGGAGGCTCTTGAGAGTCCCCTGGACAGCAAGATCAAACCAGTCAATCCTAAAGGAAATCAACCCTGAATATTCATTGGAACGACTGATGCTGAAACTGAAGCTCCAATACTTTGGCCACCTGATGTGAAGAGCCAACTCATTGGAAAGGATGCTGATGCTGGCAAAGATTGAGGGCAGGAAGAGAAGGGGGTGACAGAGGATGAGATACCTGGATGGCATCACTGACTCAATGAACATGAGTTTGAACAAACTCTGGGAGATGGTGAAGGACAGGGAAGCCTGGCATGCTATAGTCCATAGGGTTGCAAAGAGCTAGACATGACTGAGTGACATCAACAAACGCTACCCCAGTTCTATGTGCCCTCTCTGGGTTGGACTCTGGTCACTCTGTCCTAGTCCCCTAGGGTAGAGGACACCATTCCTTTCCATTAGAATTCCCTCCCCTAGGGTGGCAGATGTGACAACCGAGTGCTGTCTCCTTTAGCAGTACTGTGTTTACATGGCCCAATACATTCCTTCTATGAGTGTGAAGTGCCCTGGACTTGAACTCATGGATGTGAGTCAAATTCACTGCTTAAAAGTTGTGGAGAATGGAGGCACTTAAGTATATTTGTGAAGAACAATGCTTTTCATCTGTGATTTTCCTCATCTGTAAAATGGGACTTTTAGCACCCACTTCAGAGATTTGATCTGAAGAAGTGGTTAGAACAGTGTCTTGATAAATAGGGTGGATATGAGTTACTATTTGTAAAGTAAGTTCAAGAACACTCAGATAATCATCTGTAAACGAAGGTTACACCATTCGTGCTGTAAAGATCAAATGACAAGCAAGTGAGATTTTGAATAAAACAAAACTAACGTTATTTGAACAGATACGGATGCCAAATACTTTGCCAATGTTACCCGATTTGCGAGATAAGAAGGATCTTCAAGTGACGGACGTGAAGTGACTCAGCCGTGTCCAACTCTTTTTGACCCCATGGACTGTAGCTTGCCAAGTTTCTCTGTCCATGGAATTCTCCAGACCCAAATACTGGAGTGGGTAGCTCGTCTCTTCTCCAGGGGATCTTCCCAACCCAGGAATTGAACCCAAGTTTCCTGCATTGCGGGTGGATTCTTTATCATCTGAGCCACCAGGAAGCCCACCAGAGAAGATTTAAAGCTACTGATGGCAAACCGTCCCTGTGGGAGATAGCCCTTAGAGCTGAACCCCCTGCAGTCTGAATCCAAAAGCTCAGGCTGAGGTCAGGGAGATATTTGAGGGCGAGATGGGAGAAGAGTGTTTCAGTGTTTCATAGACAGGAAATCCTTTGGGCTTAGTGGTAAAGAATCCGCCTGCCAATGCAGGGGACTCAGGTTCAATTCCTGGGTTGGGAAGATCCCGTGAAGAAGGGAACGGCAACCCACTCTAGTATTCCTGCCTGGGAAATCCCATGGACAGAGGAACATGGCGGGCTACAAGCCATGGGGTCACAAAGAGTCGGACACGACTCAGCGACTCAGCAGC